GTTGTAATCGATCCTTCGAGCATCAGATCTTTGATGTTCTAAGTTACTTTGGTTATAAAGTTTCAGTCTTTAGTTTAAAGTTTCAGTCTTTTACTTGTTAATCACATTTATCTTCGCATATCATCATTCGCACCTCACTCGAGCTCAATCATGGCTTTTCCCGTAGCCATAAGTGAGTAGTCCACTCATCGAGTATCGGGGTAGTAGATGTAGAAGCTCTAGAGTTAGGCTAACTTAGTTTCAGCCTAACCCTTATGTTTCTCGAGCTTAGGTTGAGATTAATGCTCGGTTCTCGGTTATGGCCTTGAGCTTTGTCTTGAGGCATTCCGCTGCCCGAAAGGTGTTTGATGGAATACCTGACTGACCTTTTGCTCGGCTTAGCAACCCCTAGCCATGAAAGTGTTGTTAGGGGAGCTAGGTGAGCTTATTGGGACTTGATCTTAATGCTTGAAGAGTACTTATATCTAGCAGCGAAAGTTAGTTAGATGTTTGTACTCAACAAAGTGGTTAGTAGCATCACGAAAGTGGGATGATCATTAATCGTGTCTCATACTTAAGAATGAGCTTAATACTAAAGGCCCTGACTTTGTTAGCCGAGATCTATTGATCTACATCAGTTGCTATCCCGATACTTGGTGCTTTTCATCATCATTGCATTTGCTTTCAAGTCTCTGTTTTGCGTGTCTCTAGTTTATTTACGTTTCTGCCTAGTTTAGTTCATCCAAACCAAACCCTTGTTAATGCTTTAGCTTAATGAAAGTTCTTCATAGTTTAGTACTTTGAGTCCTTGTCTTCCCTGTGTTCGAACCCATTCACTTGCTGCAATTGAATCATGAGTAGGTTTTGTTAGGTTTTTATTTGATAAGTTAATTTTGCTTACAACTGGTAAAACAACTCTCATCAAATTGGCGCCGTTGCCGGGAAAGCTAGCGCACGTAGATATTAGATTTGAAAACTTTGTCAAGACTAAAGATTTTGTTTTCATTTCCTTTTTGTTCTACAATTTTGC